CCCCCCCCCCCAACCATCAGCGCTTCCCCCCCTCCACGTCCCTAATCGCGTACAAATGCGTGTCAGGGCTCCCGCTCCGCAAGAAATACGGCCCCCGCAAGGAGTCCGCAAATTAAATCTTCGCCATGCAAACGAGCGACCGGCTCTCTCCCCCACTCGCTCGCTCTCACGCCGCCTGCCTCTCCACGCAGCTGTCAGTCTGCCTGTCTGTAGTAGCGCTGCCTGTCTGTAGGGCTGACTGACTGTAGGGCTGCCTGTCTGTAGTAGCGCTGCCTGTCTGTAGCGCTGACTGTCTGTAGCGCTGCCTGTCTGTAGGGCTGCCTGTAGCGCTGTCTGTAGCGCTGTCTGTCTGTAGCGCTGTCTGTAGCACTGTCTGTAGTGCTGACTGTAGCGCTGCCTGTCTGTAGCGCTGACTGTCTGTAGCGCTGTCTGTAGCGCTGTCTGTCTGTAGCGCTGTCTGTAGTGCTGACTGTAGCGCTGCCTGTCTGTAGCGCTGACTGTCTGTAGCGCTGTCTGTAGCACTGACTGTAGTGCTGACTGTAGCACTGACTGTCTGTAGCGCTGCCTGTCTGTAGCGCTGTCTGTAGCGCTGACTGTAGCACTGTCTGTAGCACTGACTGTAGTGCTGACTGTAGCACTGACTGTAGCGCTGACTGTAGCGCTGTCTGTAGCGCTGCCTGTCTGTAGCGCTGACTTTAGCGCTGTCTGTAGCACTGACTGTAGTGCTGACTGTAGCACTGACTGTAGTGCTGACTGTAGCACTGACTGTAGTGCTGTCTGTAGCGCTGCCTGTAGCGCTGCCTGTCTGTAGCGCTGTCTGTAGCGCTGACTGTAGCGCTGTCTGTAGCACTGACTGTAGCGCTGCCTGTCTGTAGCGCTGACTGTAGCGCTGTCTGTAGCACTGACTGTAGTGCTGACTGTAGCACTGACTGTAGCGCTGACTGTAGTGCTGTCTGTAGCGCTGACTGTAGTGCTGACTGTAGCACTGACTGTAGCGCTGACTGTAGCACTGTCTGTAGCGCTGACTGTAGCGCTGCCTGTCTGTAGCGCTGCCTGTAGCGCTGCCTGTCTGTAGCGCTGCCTGTCTGTAGCGCTGCCTGTCTGTAGCACTGTCTGTAGCGCTGACTGTAGCGTTGACTGTAGCGCTGTCTGTAGCGCTGCCTGTCTGTAGGACTGACTGTAGCGCTGACTGTAGCGCTGCCTGTCTGTAGGACTGACTGTAGTGCGGACTGTAGCACTGCCTGTCTGTAGCGCTGCCTTTCTGCTTGTCTATAGAGCTGCCTGTCTGCCTATGTAGCTATCTGTCTCCGTGGCTGTCTGTCTATATAGCTATCAGTATATCTATCTATGTAGCTATCAGTGTGTCCGTCCGTGTAGCTATCAGTCTGCCTGTTTGTCTAATACATGACCAACCCACCTACCTCTCTACCTGTCAATTTAACTCTATGTCTGTCTGTCTGACTCTCCCTGTGTCTAATTCTCTTTTTTTATAATCTACCTACCAGTCTGCCTGTACGTCTATGTATTATTACCAATCTAACTGTCTGTCCCCCAGCAGTTGACACGTCTATCTCATCTTGTTGGTTCTTTCGGTAAAGTCACGTAGAATGGAAATAAAATAATAAAAATAAAACATAATCAAATTAAATCCTTACGACGTTTCGGCCACAACACAAGTAGCCTTCTTCTTGTGTGGTGGCCGAAACGTCGTGAGAATCTTATTTTATTATGTTTTATTTTTATTATTTTATTTCCATTCTACGTGACTTTACCGAATTGAACCAAGAAGATGAATCCCTGCAGTCACGAAAGCTTTAAATCGAAATGTCTATCTCAATCTGTATGCCTGTTTCACGCTTCTGTTTGTCCAACGCTACGCACGTCTTCCTGTCACTCCCCCTGTCTCCCTGTCCGTGCGTGCGTCAGTCTGCCAGCCCGCCTGCCTCCGTGCTGTGTCGCCGTACGTGACCCCCCACGCCACCACCCCTCACTGCGCGGTGGCCGTGTGGTTAGTTGTGACTGCCATGCTGTTAGCAGCGTGATGCTGTGTGCGGGGGAGTGCGTCCGTGTGAGTCTGTCCGTGTTGTGGGGAGCGGTAGCGCAACGGTTAGCGCGCTGCGCTCCGAAGCTCGGCGCCTGAGTTCGATTAATAACACTGGCGAATATTTGAACCGGTTTTGGGTCTCCCCTAGGTTGACTCAGCCTCAAATGAGTATCTGGCGCAGTGTGTAAACGAAAAAAAAAGTTTATTTTGATGTTACCAGGTAAGGCCCACTGAGCTACGCACCTCTTTTTCAGAGGCGACCTGGCCACAGATGACAGCTCAACGAAAGTGGCTCATCACGTGGAAAATGAGAGCAACCAAATACTCTAAACGCGTGACGTTGATTCCAAATGTGGCGGGAAAACCGGCCGTCCCGGAGAAAAATCCACGTGACCACGGGGAGAGAGACACGCAAACTCCAAATATGCCGCAGGCGTTAGGGTTGGGATCGAAACCAAGACCTCCTGCATATCAGGCGGGGGAATTAACATCTTGCCACCGTGGCACCGCATCGCCACTGGGGAGACAAAGGCGGCCGGGCGTGGTGCTGGCTACCCACCCCCTCGTGTGCCGTTCTGGCCTTCATAGGTGCTCACAAACAGCATTTTCCCTAACCGTCTGTTAAGGCTACACAGGGAATCTTTGTGTGTGTAGGTGTGTGTCGAGGTGTGTGTGTAGGTATGTGTGTAGGTGTGTGTAGGTGTGTGTGTAGGTGTGTGCGTAGGTGTGTGCGTAGGTGTTACATATTTCCGTCGTGGTTTAGTGGTTGCGGGTTGCTGAGGCGATGGAGTCTGCCTCAGTGGCCCGCGATCACAAATCTCTATTTAACTCCATAAAAAAAGTAACCTGCAGCGCCACACCTATTACCATCATTAGGGGAAAAAACGGTGATCCAATCTCCGACCCCCAGGAACAGGTTTGCAGATTTGCTGAGCATTTATGTGAGGTCCTGGGGGAGGGAAACTCCCTCAGCCAGGAAAACATCGTGGCACAAAGTGGGGATGACCCTGCTGAGGCTGCGGTGCCTCAAATATTAGAAGAAGTCACCCCCTGTGAGTGGCGGGCTGAGGTGCCATCTGTTGAGGAAATACTGAAGGCGATCTGGAGACTGAGACCAGGAAAGGCAGCGGGCAGAGATGATCTCCCAAGCGAAATGCTGAGGGAGGGTGGCGTTTGTGCACAGACTGCCCTATATGACATCATAACAACAGTCTGGACCACTGGACGGGTTCTGCAGAATTGGAAGGATGCCCTGGTGGTCCCCCTCTATAAGAAAGGGGGCCACACAGACTGTAACAACTACAGGGGCATCTCACTCCTCAGTGTGCCGGGAAAGGTCCTGGCAAGGATTATTCAACATCGCCTTGCCAAGCACGCTGAGGAGAGGCTTGCGGAGCCCCAATGCGGTTTCAGGAAAGGGCGGTCCTGCACAGATGCCATATTTTCTGTCCGTCTGCTACAGCAGAGGTGTAGGGAATTCCAGCAAGACCTACATCTCTGCTTTATTGACCTTGTCAAGGCCTATGATACCATCAGTAGGCCTGGGCTCTGGGTTGTTCTTCATGCTTTTGGAGTACCTGACCCTCTGCTCACGATCATTAAGGACCTCCATGATGGTGAGCGGGCCCGGGTAAAACTGCGTGGTCGGGAGTCAGAGCCATTCCCTGTGCACCTTGGGGTGCGACAGGGATGGCCTCTGGCTCCCACATTATTTAACATCTATTTTGACCACGTAGTTCGTGAAGCCTTCAATAGCTGTACCGGGGGAATCTCCATATGGTACAGATATAATGGGAGGCTGATCGATGCCCGGGTGCGGTCAAGGGATGGCTCCCTATTGCTCAACCACGTTATGTATGCCGATGATTTGGTAATATCTGCTCATTCAGAGGAGGAGTTGGAGACGTTGCTGCTGAGACTGGAGCGTGCCACTAAGAGATGGGGCCTTACCATCAGCCTCACCAAAACTAAGAACCTGCCTGGGTATTTTGTACCATCGGACACTCCACCCCCACAACTCCCAATCGGTGATGGGGTAGTTGTGGAGAGAGTGGAGAGTTTCCCATACCTGGGCAGTGTGCTTATGACCGGCTCCAGTTTAACAGCACAAGTCTCACTCCGAATCAGTCGAGCGGCAATATCTTTTCATCGGTTGCATAACGCTGTGTGGAAGCTACCTGGTTTGTCGCTCCGTACTAAGCTTCAGGTCTTCTCGGCCACGGTCATTCCCTCCCTTCTCTACGCTTGCGAAACGTGGACCCCCCTAATGGAACATCTTTGCCGGTTAGAAACAATTAGGCTAGCCTGCCTGCGATCCATCCTGGGTTTAACCAGGCTGGATTGTGTGAGAAGCTCACACATCTTTGAAAGATCTGGGCAAGGTCCCATCGGTGAGCTCCTCCGGCAGGCAAGGCTGCGGTGGCTGGGTCATGTAGCCCGCATGCCCAGCCTCCGCATGCCGAAACAGCTTTTGTTCGGCCGGATTGAGGGGGCTTAATGGGCGTGGCACGGCCTAGAGAAGAGATGGAGTGATGTGGTACAGGAGGACGTGGAGCTGAGTGGACTTGCCGATGACTGGTACCAGCGGTGTTAAGATCGGCCTCTGTGGAGGAGGTTCGTGAAGGACGCTACTGGGCAGTTGGAGGTAGTCGCCCTCCAACAACAACGGAGGGCGGAGGAGCGACGCTCACAACAACGAGCGGAGCGCCGGGTGGCTAAAGTACAGCAGGTTGGCACAGTAGGGGTCACAGGTGGTGCATCAGCCAGTCATCTCAGTCAGTCGACCCGTGGCACCTGGGTCTGCCCCGTGACCTCCTGCCCGCGGGTGTTCGACACTTCACGTGGCCTCAAGGTGCACATGGCCTGGCACAAGCATCGTGGTGACGTCACCGCCACTTAGTGGCGAATGGCGGTTGTTGTTGTTGTGTTGTTGTGTGTGTAGCTGTGTGTATCTCACCTGCCCGTGACAAACTGCAGCAGTAGCACTCGCTCCTCCTGCGAGAGCTCCTGCACCACCTCCCAGAACCACTACATCACCACCATCACACACCATCACACACCCATTACCATCACCACCATCAACACCATCACACACCCATTACCATCACCACCATCAACACCATCACACACCATCAGACACCAGCACACATCACCACCACCATCAACAACAACAACAAGCGCCATTTGCCACTAAGTGGCGGTAACGTCATCACGACGCTTGTGCCAGGCTATGTGCACCTTGAGGCCACGTGAAGTGTCGAACGCCCGCTGGCAGGAGGTCACGGGGCAGACCCAGGTGCCACGGGTCGACTGACTGAGATGACTGAGATGACTGGCTGATGCACCACCTGTGCCCCCTACTGTGCCATCACACACTATATCACATACGCTGGGCTCGTATCTGCTCGTGTACTTTTGTCTCCGTGTTTCCGTATCCACGTGTTCCCATATCCACGTGTCTCCGTGTATCTGGGTCCCCATGTTTTCTTGTCCCCTTGTCTCCGTGTTTCCATGTCTCCGTGTCTCTGTGTCCCCGTGTCTCCGTGTCTATGTGTCTCAGTGTCTCTGTGTCTCCATGCATCTGTGTCCCATTGTCTCCGTGTGTCCGTGTGTCCGTGTGTCCGTGTCTCCGTGTCTATGTGTCTCCGTGTCCCCTTGTCTCCGTGTCTCCGTGTCTCTGTGTATCCGTGTCCCTGTGTTTCTACGTTCCTGTGTTCCTGTGTCCCCGTGTCCCTACGTCCCCTTGTCTCAGTGTCTCCGTGTGCCCGTGTCTCCATGCCTCCGTGTTTTCATGCCTCCATGTCCCATTGTCTAGGTGTCTATGTGTCTCTGTGTGTCCGTGTCTCCGTGTCTCTGTGTGTCCGTGTCTCCGTGTCTCTGTGTCCCTGTGTTTCTACGTGCCCGTGTTCCCTTGTCTCCTTGTCCCCATGTCCATGTGCCCCCATGTACCTGGATCACGGGGGCGCTGGGCTCATATCCGCTCCCGTACTCCGTGTTTCGCTCCCAATCCTCAACGTCGATCTCCGGCATCCCAGACAGTAGCAGCTCCTACACGTGGACACGGAGATACGGGGACGGGGGGACAGGGGCGACACGGGGATACGGAGTCAGAGGAATGTGGGGACACGGCAACAGGACACGGGGGACACGTAGACAGGAGGACGTGGAGACAGAAGGACATGGCAACAGGACATGTGGAGACAAGGGGACACGGAAACATATCAGACGTTGTAGGCTCGGGCTGCGAAGTGGCCAGCGGATGACAGCACAGCAATGGATTCTTAAATCCTTCTGCGTGGAGCTTTGAGCGTCACCCCCCCCCCCCTCCCCTTCGTACAACAGCAGCACGGTGCTGGGTTTTCTCCGGGCTCCGCGTGGAGCCCCGACTCTGGTCCCCGGCGAACGATCTACAGGCGGGGACGGCGGGGAGGGGGGCATCCCGTCACGGGGTAGGGGGCGCCCCCCAAGGCACACCCCCCCCCTCCCCCTGCGCTGCCTCGGCCGGCCGTTGTGAGGTGGGGGGGGCCCACACCGCCACCCCTGAGCCATCGCTCCACGCTGAACGCCGCCATCAGCAGTTGTGAGGATCCAATCAGCGAGCTGCTCATTACAGGGGCGGGATGCTGGGGGGGGTGGGGGGATGGGGGGGCGGGGTGGGTGGGGGGGCGGTGGGGGTAACGGCACGGGGGGGGGGGGGGAGCTCACGACGGGACGCCGCACGGATGGGCGCAAGGGCCGCAGACGCGACGTATAGCACGCCGCACCGCCCGTGCCACGCTCACCACTCGCTCACCACTCGCTCACCACTCGCTCACCACTCGCTCACCACTCGCTCACCACTCGCTCACCACGCAACTCGCCACGTCCTCGCGTGCACTCGCCACGCGCTCGTCACACGACTCACAGCTTTTATTTTTTTCATTCAATTGAGCGGCCAGCAATGAACAGCACCGGTAGCAGAGTTGTAGATTCAGGGGGTGCACAGCGCGCGTGTTCAATTGAGCGATGTTGCCGTGAGCGTTCGGGGGGTGGAGAGACGAGGATGGCGGGAAGGTCCAGAATGGAGCTGGGCAAGGGAAGAAGCAGAAAGGGAAGTGAGGTGACCTGCAGTGTGGTGAGTGAGTGGGTGGGTGGGAGAGCGAGTGAATGTAGGGGGTGAGCGAGAGAGTGAACGTGTTGTTGTGACCTACAGCGTGGAGGTTGGTGATGGATGACATGAAACGGCGAGTGTCTGGCGGAGACCGAGGCCTCATCTTGGGTGGAGGAATCCACGAGTGAAGTTCACGGGAACGGTAACCAGAGCACGAGCAGCGACAGAAGGGTGATAAGGAGGCGACTGACTGGTGGTGAACGAGTGCCGGATCGCGCGCACAAACACACGGGCCCGAGCACACACGGAGGTGGGAGGAGGAGGAGGAGGGAGGGAGGGAGGGCAGAGGCTTGTGGCGGGCGAGCAGGAGAGCGAGCGGTGTGCGTGCGGAGGTGACACGTGGAGGCGGCGCGGCGCTGGGGGAGACGGATTGAGAGGGAGCTCATTCTGATGGCTCCAACCTCATCGCCCGCCTCGCCCCCCTCTCTACGGGGGCGGGCGGCACGGTGGGGAGGGGGGGGGGGCGGAGCGGGGGGGAGCCGTGCGGCGAGCGGAGACGCGGGTTGAGGAGACGGCGGGATTAGCGGCGAGAGGATAACGGGTCCCGGGGCGGGGGGCTACCGTTGCACCTGGAGCCCCCCCCCCCCCCCCCCCCCCCGGATTAACCCCGGACGACCCCGGGATCGGCGGAGATCGACCCGGAACCCCCCCGGACGTCGTCTCCCGTGGCCGCGCGTTCTCCGCGACGGCCGCGATCCCCTCTCCCCGATCCCTGATCCTCACTCCCTGATCCCCGAAGCCCCAACACTTCCCCCCCCCACCCCTCCACGTCCCCCTCCCCCCGTCCCCTGCCACCCCCTTCGCACGGCGTTCTCCACGGCTCATTACGCGATGCGGCGATTAAGGAGTTTGAGAAAATGAGTGCAGACACCACCCAGGGGGAGACGCGGGGGGTAAGGGGGGGGAGATGCAGTGTGTGTGTACATGAGTACGTGTGTGTAAGTGTGTGGGGAGCGATAGTGTAGCGGTTAGCGCGCTGCGCTATGAACCTGGCGACCCGGGTTCGATTCCCGTTCACGGCAAACACCAGTGACGATTATCTGAACCGGTCCCGGGCCTCCCCTAGGTCGACTCAGCCTCAAATGAGTACCTGGTGCGGTGTGTAAACATTGCCACTAGGGAGACAAAGGCGGTCGGGCGTGGTGCTGGCCACCCACCCCCTCGTGTACCGTTCCGGCCTTCATAGGTGCTCGCTAACAGCACTTGCCCCTACAGTCTGTTAAGGCTATATGGGGGATCTTTGTCTTTATCTTTGTGTGTGTACATGAGTGGGGAGCGGTAGTGCAGCGGTTAGCGCGCTGCCCTACGAACCTGACGACCCGAGTTCGATTCACGCTCACAGCGAACACCGGTGACGATTATCTGAACCGGTTCTGGGTCTCCCCTAGGTCGACTCAGCCTCAAATTAGTACCTGGTGCGGTGTGTGAGCATCGCCAATAAGGAGACAAAGGTGGTGGTGTTGGCCACCCACCCCCTCGTTAAGAGCACTTGCCCCAACAGTCTTTGTAGGAGTCTATGTGTGTAAGTGTGTGTAGGTGTGTAGGAGTGCGGGAGGGAGAGAGGAATTGTTTGTGTGTGTGTGTGCATATGTACATGTGAGCGTGTGTGCATACATATGCGTGTGTGCATCTACGTGCGTCATACGTGTGTGTGTGCATGCATACCAGCTCGTATTCGCCGTGCGTGTGTACACGTGCGTGAGTGAGTGTACGTGTGTACACGTGCGTGAGTGAGTGTGCGTGTGTACACGTGAGTGAGTGAGTGAGTGTGCGTGTTGTACACGACGCCTGGCACAAGCGTCGTGGTGACGTCACCGCCACTTAGTGGTGAATGGTGGTTGTTGTGTTGTACACGTGTGTGCGTGAGTGTGCGTGAGTGTGCGTAAGTGTGCGTGCGTGCGTACCAGCTCGTATTCGTCAAACAACTGCACGAGGGCAGGGGGGATGAAACGGTGGAACCCGGCGAGGAAGGCGTTGATCTGGGGGATGATGGCGCGCGTCATCCGCAACTCCGTCACCAGCTGCACGTACTCCCCCTGCACACGCAAACACCGCTACTCTTCACGTACTCCCCCTGCATACTGCAGTCACCTCACTTCACTTTCTGCTGCTTCACGCAGACCGCTCCACTCTGGAATTCCCTCCTCCTCCACCACCCCCTCCCCCCATCATCATTGTCAACGTCTCTCATCCCCCAAGCTCTCACAATAACAACAACAACAACCTCGCTCAATTAAAAACGCCCAAAATGCCAAGCGTTTTGGGCCATCGGGCACGGTACTCGGCAACCGCGTTTCATCGCCGCCGCCACCCTCACATTCCCCCGGCTACCCACGGGCGAATGCTTCACCTCGTGCGCGTCAACGTCGTGTGTCACCCACCTTATTCTCCTGGGTCACTGCCACGCCGGAGCCCCCGGGCTTGAGCTCCACCTCGGCCATGGATCCAAAGACGTCGGTCTCCACCAGGAAGGTGAGCTCCAGGCCCAGCTCCGAGATGTCGTTGTCCAGGATCCACTGCAGGTTCTTGGCGTACTCGGGGTCGATGGAGGCCACGTCGCGGTAGCTCACGGGGATGCCTGCTCGCCACGCACGCACACACACACAGCACGCACGCACACACAGCACGCACGCACACACAGCACGCACGCTCACCGCACAGCACGCACAGCACGCACGCACGCACACACAGCACGCACGCACACACAGCACGCACGCTCACCGCACAGCACGCACAGCATGCACGCACACACAGCACGCACGCACAGCACGCACGCACAGCACGCACGCTCACCGCACAGCACGCACAGCACGCACGCACACACAGCACGCACGCACAGCACACACGCTCACCGCACAGCACGCACAGCACACACACACCACGCGCGCACAGCACGCACGCTCACAGCACGTGCACTCGCCACGCGCGCTCACCACGTCCGATACGCTCACCATGTCCGATACACCCCCCTGCATCCCCCCTTGCCCCCATACGAGTGAGTGAGTGACAGTGGCGAGGAGCTGGAGGTGGCCTCTGCACTGCGGTGCCGAGTGGGGATGGAATCGCGAGCGTTGCGGCGCGGACATCATCCCTGTCATTAGTGTCTCATTGAATTATCCACCCGAGGTCACGGGGCGAGACGCACGCACGCACACATACACACACAAGAGACAAAGATCCCCCGTATAGCATGAATAGACTGTTGAGGCAAGTGCTGTTAGCGAGAACCTATGAAGGCCGGAACGGCACACGAGAGGGTGGGTGGCAAGCACCACACCCGGCCGCCTTTGTCTCCCTAGTGGCGATGTTTACACACCGCACTAGCTACACATTTGAGGTTGAGCCAAACTAGGGGAAGCCCAGGACCGGTACAGATAATCGTCACGCGCACACGTACGTACACACGTACACATGTATCACACGCGCACACGCGCGCACGCGCGCACGCACGCACGCCTCCCTTCCTCCACCCCCCACCCCCCTCCAGGGCATGGAGAAGGGGGAGGGAGGCGTGGAGTGCGGAGGAGGAGTGTGGGGGGAGGGGTGGAGTGGAATTGATGCTCGCGGTGGCTCGAGGGGGAGCACACAAACACAACGAGGTTTTAATTTGATAATCGCCGCGCACTCAATTTGCCGCCTGGGATCCCCCCCGCCCCATCCCATCCCCCTTCCTCTCCCTGCGTCCACGGCGGTGCGCACGGTGCCAGGGGCTGCGGGCACCGAGGTCAGCCCCCCGCACACAGGAAGCGTCGGCCCTCGGAGGCGCGACGGTCACGACAGGCGCACCGCAGACATCGCGGGGCACTCAAGTCCCTGGGCCCGGGGGGGCGGGAACCCTGTCGTTACCCTGGGGCCCGAGCGGCCACCTCGAACCCCGGGCCGCCGGCGTACGTCGCCGGCGGGCACGGGGACCGGGCGCCGCGGCCAAACGCGGGCGTCGCCGAGCTCACCGAGGATGTGCTTGTAGAAGGAGCGGGTGAAGTAGACGTTGACGAGGTGGCGGTGGTACAGGGCCAGGCCCAGGATCTGCCCCGCGAAGCGGAAGTAGTTCAGGTGGTCGGGGTTCACGGAGGAGTTGCTGTTCGGCTGAAACGTCGTTCCTGGGGGGAGGGCAAGGGGGACGTGGAGACGTGGGGACGTGGGGAGACGCGCGGAGGCACAGTGTCCCCGTGACACAGTGAGACATGGGGAGACACAGTGAGACACAGTGAGACACAGGGAGACACAGTGTCCCCGTGACACATTGAGACACAGTGAGACACAGTGTCCCCGTGATACAGTGAGAAACAGGGAGACACAGTGAGACACAGTGTCCCAATGACACAGGGAGACACAGTGAGACACAGTGTCCCAATGACACAGTGAGACACAGGAAGACACAGTGTCCCAATGACACAGTGAGACACAGGAAGACACAGTGTCCCAATGACACAGTGAGACACAGGGAGACACAGGGAGACACAGGGAGACACAGTGTCCCAATGACACAGTGAGACACAGTGAGACACAGGGAGACACAGTGTCCCAATGACACAGTGAGACACAGGGAGACACAGTGTCCCAATGACACAGGGAGACACAGTGAGACACAGGGAGACACAGGGAGACACAGTGTCCCAATGACACAGTGAGACACAGTGTCCCAATGACACAGGGAGACACAGTGAGACACGGGGAGACACAGTGTCCCAATGACACAGTGAGACACAGTGAGACACAGGGAGACACAGTGTCCCAATGACACAGTGAGACAGTGTCCCAATGACACAGTGAGACAAAGTGAGACACAGTGAGACACAGTGTCCCAATGACACAGTGAGACACAGGGAGACACAGGGAGACACAGGGAGACAGTGTCCCAATGACACAGGGAGACAGTGAGACACAGGGAGACAGAGTGTCCCAATGACACAGGGAGACAACCCTGTCTCCATCCACATACGAAGCGTACATGTTAAAGCTAAGTCGACATAGAGGAGACTACCAGGACCGGTAATGAAATCCTCACCGATGTTGGCTGTCAGCGGAATTCGAACCCTGGTCACTGGGTTTGTAGCGGAGTGCGCTAACCACTGCGCCACCGCTCCCCACGTACGCACATACGCGTGCACGCTGAATAAATTGGCCACTTCAAAGACAATTTGCAGAGCAGCAGCTGTGCGTGCATATGTGTGTAAGTGTGTGCGTATGTGTGTGCATATGTGTGTGTGTGTCTCCCTGTGTCTCACTGTGTCATGGGGACACTGTGTCTCCCTGCGTCTCCCTGTGTCACGGGGACACTGTGTCTCCCTGTGTCTCACTGTGTCACGGGGACACTGTGTCTCACTGCGTCTCCCTGTGTCACAGGGACACTGTGTCTCCCTATGTCTCACTGTGTCACGGGGACACTGTGTCTCACTGTGTCTCCCTGTGTCTCCCTGTGTCACGGGGACACTGTGTCTCCCTGTGTCTCACTGTGTCATGGGGACACTGTGTCTCACCTTGGGGTGCGACAGGGATGTCCTTTGGCTCCCACATTATTTAACATCTATTTTTACCACGTAGTTCGTGAAGCTTTCAATAGCTGTACCGGGGGAATCTCCATTTGGTACAGATATAATGGGAGGCTGATCGATGCCCGGGTGCAGTCAAGGGATGGCTCCCTATTGCTCAACTACGTTATGTATGCCGATGATTTGGCAATAGCTGCTCATTCAGAGGAGGAGTTGCAGACGCTGCTGCTGAGACTGGAGCGTGCCACTAAGAGATGAGGCCTTACCATCAGCCCCACCAAAACTAAGCACCTGCCTGGGTATTTTGCACCATCGGACACTCCACCCCCACAACTCCCAATCGGTGATGGGGCAGTTGTGAAGAGAGTGGAGAGTTTCCCATACCTAGGCAGTGTGCTTATGACTGGCTTCAGTTTAACAGCAGAGGTCTCACTCCGAATCAGTCGAGCGGCAATATCTTTTCATCGGTTGCGTAACGCTGTGTGGATGCTACAAGGTCTGTAGCTCCGCACTAAGCTTCAGGTGTTCTCGGCCAGTCATTCCCTCCCTTCTCTACGCTTGCGAAACGTGGACTCCCCTAATGGAACATCTTCGCCGATTGGAAACATTTAGGCTGGCCTGCCTACGATCCATCCTGGGTATAACCAGGCTGGATTGTGTCAGGAGCTCACAAATCCTTGAAAGATCTGGGCAAAGTCCCATCTGTGAGCTCCTTCGGCAGGCAAGGCTGCGTTGGCTGGGTCATGTAGCCCGCATGCCCAGTAACTGCATGCCTAAACAGCTTTTGTTCGGCCAGAGAGAGGGGGCTAAACGGGAGTGGCACGGGCTAGAGAAGAGATGGAGTGCCGATGACTGGTACCAGCAGTGTCAAGATCGGCCTCTGTGGAGGAGGCTCGTGAAGGACGCTACTGGGCAGTTGGAGGCAGTCGCCCTCCAACTACAACGGAGGGCGGAGGAGCGACACTCACAACAACGAGCGGAGCGCCAGGTGGCTAAGCACAGCAAGTTGGCACAGTAGGGAGCACAGGTGGTGCATCAGCCAGTAATCTCAGTCAGTCAACCCGTGGCACCTGGGTCTGACCCGTGACCTCCTGCCAGCAGGCATTCGACACTTCACGTGGCTTCAAGGTGCACATAGCCTGCCACAAGCGTCGTGGTGACATCACCGCCACTTACTGGCGAATGGCGGTTGTTGTTGTTGTGTGTGTGTGTGCCTACGTGTGTGTGTGTGTGTGTGCCTACGTGTGTGTGTGTGTGTGCCTGCATGTACGGGCCACGGGGTCTGTGGATGGCCACTCACCATCGGCGGACTGCGTAAAAAGAGCGTAGTCCGGGTTGAGGATCTCGTTTGAGAGAATGTCGAACCACTCCCTCACCACTCCCTGGCCCTGCACACACCACACCACACACCACCGCCACACCACACCGCACCACACACCACACACATCACCATACCGCACCAGACACCACCGCCACACCGCACCAGACACATTACCACACCGCACCACACACCACACACATCACCACACCGCACCACACCGCACCACACACCACCGCCACACCGCACCAGACACATCACCACACCGCACCACACCACCACACATACCACCACACCGCACATACCACCGCCACACCGCACCAGACACATCACCACAGCGCACCACACATACCACCACACCACACCACACACACCACCGCACCACACACAACACACCTCACACACACCACCGCACCACACACGCCACCACACCGCACCATACACACCACCACACCGAACCGCATCCGTACACCGCACTTGCTGGGTGCAGGGTGTTTGGACGCAGGGTGTTGGGGGTGCAGGGTGCTGGGGGTGCACGGTTCTGGGGGTGCTGGGGGTGCAGGGTGCTGGGGGTGCAGGGTGCTGAGGGTGCAGGGTGCAGGGTGTGCAGGGTGCAGGGTGTTGGGGGTGCAGGGTGCTGGGGGTGCACGGTTCTGGGGGTACTGGGGGTGCAGGGTGCAGGGTGCTGGGGGTGCAGGGTGCAGGGTGCTGGGGGTGCAGGGTGCTGGGGGTGCAGGGTGCAGGGGTGCAGGGTGCAGGGGATGCAGGGTGCAGGGTGCGGCCTCACCACGCCCTCCTCCCCGTGGAACCGCACGGCGATCCCCTGCTTCAGCTTCTCCTGGCTCACCTTGGACACCATCTCACAGCTGCTCTCAAACACCGAGTCTGTGCCCACACAGACAAAGATCCCCCCTGTAGCCTTAACAAGCTTCCAGGGCAAGTGATGTTAGCGAGTAGCACGTATGAAGGCCGGGAACGGCACACCAAGAGGTGGGTGGCCAGCACCACGCCCGTACGCTTTTGTCTCCATATTTGCGATGTTTTTACACCACACCGGGTCCTCATTTGAGTCTGAGTCGACCTAGGGGAGGCCCAGGACCCGTTCAGATAATCGTCACTGGTGTTGGCCGTGAGCAGGGATAAAACTCGGGTAGAACACTCGCGTGCTCTCAGACACTCACTCACACACTCACACACTCCCCCTCACTCACACTCACTCACACTCACACACTCACTCACACTCACACACTCCCGCTCACTCACACTCACTCACACACTCACACACTCACTCACTCACACTCACTCACTCACACACTCATTCACACACTCACTCATTCACTCACACAGTCACTCACTCACACACTCACTCACTCACACACTCACACACTCACTCACACGCTCACTCACACGCTCACACACTCACTCGCATGCTCACTCACACGCTCACACACTCACTCACACACTCACACACACACTCACTCACACACTCACTCACACGCTCACACACTCACTCACACACTCACACACACACTCACTCACACACACACTCACACGCTCACACACTCACACTCACTCACACGCTCACACACTCACACACACACTCACTCACACGCTCACACACTCACACACACACTCACACACACACTCACTTACACACTCCCGCTTGCGTCGCCCGTGACGTTGGTGTCAGCAGGCGGCTCGCGGCCGCCCCCCCGCGAGCTCCTGACGGCCGGGCCCCGGTAATTGCCGCGATGTCGGCGAGTAATTACGGCGAAATCGCACGGAAGCAGCGGCGGCGGCAGTGGCAGGCAGCGGTGATGGCAGCCGAGAGGGAAATTGCTTGAGTCAGACGAACTCCGGGGCTCGCTCGCAATCACAGCCGACAGCGACTGCCAGGCTCACGTGACCATGCAGCCTCTGTCAGTCTAACGTGACGGTACAACCTCTGTCAGTCTAACGTGATGGTACAGCCTCTGTCAGTCTAACGTGATGGTACAGTCTCTGTCAGTCTAACGTGATGGTACAACCTCTGTCAGTCTAACGTGATGGTACAGCCTCTGTCAGTCTAACATGATGGTACAGTCTCTGTCAGTCTAACGTGATGGTACAACCTCTGTCAGTCTAACATGATGGTACAGCCTCTGTCAGTCTAACGTGACGGTACAGCCTCTGTCAGTCTAACGTGATGGTACAACCTCTGTCAGTCTAACATGATGGTACAACCTCTGTCAGTCTAACGTGACGGTACAGGCTCTGTAAGTCTAACGTGATGGTACAGGCTCTGTCAGTCTAACATGATGGTACAGCCTCTGTCAGTCTAACATGATGGTACAACCTCTGTCAGTCTAACATGATGGTACAGCCTCTGTCAGTCTAACATGATGGTACAACCTCTGTCAGTCTAACATGATGGTACAGCCTCTGTCAGTCTAACATGATGGTACAGCCTCTGTCAGTCTAACGTTACGGTACAACCTCTGTCAGTCTAACAGTGACGGTACAACCTCTGTCAGTCTAACGTGACGGTACAGCCTCTGTCAGTCTAACATGATGGTACAACCTCTGTCAGTCTAACATGATGGTACTGCCTCTGTCAGTCTAACGTGATGGTACAACCTCTGTCAGTCTAACATGATGGTACAACCTCTGTCAGTCTAACATGATGGTACTACCTCTGTCAGTCTAACATGATGGTACAGCCTCTGTCAGTCTAACGTGATGGTACAACCTCTGTCAGTCTAACATGATGGTACAACCTCTGTCAGTCTAATGTGACGGTACAGCCTCTGTCAGTCTAACGTGACGGTACAGCCTCTGCCAGTCTAACGTGATGGTACAACCTCTGTAAGTCTAACGTGACGGTACAGCCTCTGTCAGTCTAACATGATGGTACAACCTCTGTCAGTCTAACATGATGGTACTGCCTCTGTCAGTCTAACGTGATGGTACAACCTCTGTCAGTCTAACATGATGGTACAACCTCTGTCAGTCTAACATGATGGTACAACCTCTGTCAGTCTAACATGATGATACTGCCTCTGTCAGTCTAACGTGATGGTACAACCTCTGTCAGTCTAACATGATGGTACAACCTCTGTCAGTCTAACGTGATGGTACAACCTCTGTCAGTCTAACGTGACGGTACAGCCTCTGCTAGTCTAACGTGATGGTACAGCCTCTGTCAGTCTAACGTGATGGTACAGCCTCTGTCAGTCTAACATGATGGTACAACCTCTGTCAGTCTAACGTGATGGTACAACCTCTGTCAGTCTAACGTGACGGTACAGCCTCTGCTAGTCTAACGTGATGGTACAGCCTCTGTCAGTCTAACGTGATGGTACAGCCTCTGTCTCACACTCTATGAGTCTCTCTGTGTTCCCCGCTTCCGCCTGGCGGGGGAGGGAGGTGGGAGGGGGGGCGTCGCGTGAGGTCGCGTGGGGTCACGCGGGGTCACGTGGGGTCAAATGAAAATGAAGAGCAAAATCAATGCGGGGGGCCGTCGCTGTCACTGCCAAAGCCGACGCGTCGACGCATTGCGGACAGCGCCGAGCGCCGCCTGCCGCGGGCGCCGACCGCTCCGGGCCGAGACGTGCGTTGACGCAGGAGCATTTTCACTTCGTTAGCGAGCGGGCGGGCGGGCGTTGGCGTGAGCGTGGCGACCGCAACGCAGCGCGGGGGACGCCCGGCGGAGGGCCTCGGCGGGACTCGCGCGACGACGGCACGGCGGCCGTCGATCGTCGCGCGAGTCCACCCAGGGCCGACGCTCCCAGGACCAGGCTCAGGGTCAGTGACCTCGACGATGTCGCCCCACAGACGCCGACTTCTCAAGTGGCGATCCCATCCCTTCTGGGATCGCGCTGCTGCCACCGCTGCTGTCCCCTTCCTGGAGTCTCACTTGGCTCCGGCAGGACTCCAGAATTAACCCCTCGTTTGAGAGTCAAACATCGCCGCACCTCCTGGCTTTGACATTCCTGCTCATCATCGAAGGCACCGAGTCGGGGTGGGGGTCACCTCGGGGTTTACCGCACCTCTGTGGACGAGCAGGACGTCGCCCTCGCTGACGGGACGGTGCACCATGGCCGTGTCCTGTCCGTCCGACAGCAGGTTCTCGTAGAACCAGTCGCAGCGATCCTTGAAGGGCTGCGGGACACGGGGACCTCTCAGAACCCAGCCATTTTGCCACCTGCGCTGGTTTGATTTGCTGGCATCCCTCCCCCCCCCCCCACCCTGTCGAGGAGGCAACAGCTGCCCTGGGAGATCTACGTCTTCCCGGGACATCTGCGAGTCTTGGTGGGTGGATAGGTGAGTTCGTGTGTGTTTAGGTGGGTGAGTGGGTGGGTGGGTGAGTGACTGATCGGCTTGCCACCTATCCTGGCTTCCCCTGGATGGTCCATTTAGTTGAGGTGGATGGCAGCCAGCTGTGCCGGGACATCAAGAGACCCCGGGCTATGCCCGTTACATAACAGCGGCAGCAACCACTGTGGGCTACGTGCCCGCACGCGGCGCTCCGCTACACCGTGAGCGGCGTCGCTCCGACATCGCGGCGCGGTCCCACGGGGCACTCGTGGCGACGACCAACTCACCCGTGGCGTGCGCCGCCCCCCCCTCTCTCTCTTCCCGAGCTCTTAGAACACCGCTCAATGCAAGGGACGCGTGACACCCGAATCCTACGCGAACCCTCTTCTGTTGAGCGCTTTCGAGAGTGCCGTTTGTCGCTGGCCCCCTTCGTGGTTTGGCCGCGCGATGGGCGCTCGACGCCCGAGCGACCGCGCATCTCATCGGCTCACGCCGCTGTGCCCCTCGCATTACGGAGTCGGACGACGACGACGACGGCGACCTAGGGAGCTGGGAGAGGGTTTGAATCGTCGCGGGAGCACGGGACGGGAGCCGCGACCCGCGACCCGCGGGCGTTCCGCTCCGCACAGCCCCGCTGCTCAGCTCGCTTCACCCCCCCCCCCCCCCACCACAAATCCCCCTGTCACGGGCGACCTGGCGCAGCAACGCCGCCTCCTCCGCCGCCGTCACCACGGCGGTCGCCGCCTCCACGCTTCGCATTCATCGCGCGCGGCCCCCTCCCCCGCCCCCTCCCCCATCCCCTGCCCCCTCCCCCGCCCCCGCCCCCTCCCCCGCCCCCCCCCCCGCCCCCTCCCCCGCCCCCTCCCCCGCCCCACGGAGCGGCCCGCGGCGCCGGTGACCTCCTGTCTCGTCCCCATAAGGTGCCGGACCCTGCCGAGTTAAAGTCGAATTACGGCCTCCACAAGTCCGGAGACCAAGGGGAGTGCGAGACCTGGGGCCGGATGGTGGGAGACTGTTAGGGCAGATCTTTGGGCCTCTGTGTGAATCTATGGGTCTCTGTGCGAATCTATGGGTCTCTGTGTGAATCTATGGGTCTCTGTGTGAATCTATGGGTCTCTGTGTGAATCTATGGGTCTCTGTGTGATCTATGGGTCTGTGTGAATCTATGGGTCCCTGTGTGAATCTCTGGGTCTCTGTGTGAATCTTTGGGCCTCTGTGTGAATATTTTGGCCTCTGTGTGAATCTGTGGGTCTCTGTGTGAATCTTTGGGTCTCTGTGTGAATCTATGGGTCTCTGTGTGAATCTATGGGTCTCTGTGTGAATCTTTGGGTCTCTGTGTGAATCTATGGGTCTCTGTGTGAATCTATGGGTCTCTGTGTGAATCTTTGGGCCTCTGTGTGAATCTTTGGGCCTCTGTGTGAATCTTTGGGTCTCTGTGTGAATCTTTGGGTCTCTGTGTGAATCTATGGGTCTCTGTGTGAATCTATGGGTCTCTGCGTGAATCTTTGGGTCTCTGTGTGAATCTATGGGTCTCTGTGTGAATCTATGGGTCTCTGTGTGAATCTATGGGTCTCTGCGTGAATCTTTGGGTCTCTGTGTGAATCTTTGGGTCTCTGTGTGAATCTTTGGGTCTCTGTGTGAATCTATGGGTCTCTGTGTGAATCTATGGGTCTCTGTGTCAATATTTGGGTCTCTGTGTGAATCTATGGGTCTCTGTGTGAATCTTTGGGTCTCTGTGAGAATCTTTGGGTCTCTGTGTGAATCTTTGGGTCTCTGTGTGAATCTTTGGGTCTCTATGTGAATCTTTGGGTCTCTGAGTGAATCTATGGGTCTCTGTGTGAATATTTGGGTCTCTGTGTGAATCTATGGGTCTCTGCGTGAATCTTTGGGTCTCTGTGTGAATCTATGGGTCTCTGTGTGGTTCGATGGGCCTCTGTGCGAGTCTGTGCACGAGCGAGTGGGCGAGTTGTTGTTGCCTGCAGCGCGGCGCAGTCCGAATGGGACGGGAGTCGAACCTGAGACTTGGTGATGTGCATGAAACGCGACATGAGCTCGGGGCACTCGAGCAGGAAGTGGAAGTGGTGGAAGATGATCTTGGGCTTCCGCGTGACGAAGCACTTGAGCACGCCGTCGTGCCGGCACACAAACTCGATGAAGCGCGGCGACGTGAGCCTGCGGGCCGCACCGCACACACCACGGTTAACGATGCACGCCAGGCGCGCCGGGGCACGTGACGCGCGACACACGCGCCGCGTACGACGACGGCGAGCCGCCGTTCGCCGCCAAGCGCCGGCAGCATCGCGGCAGCATTTTGCGCCAGGCTAGGTGCACTTCGAGGCCGCCGCCGCACGCCGCGCGGGAGGCTCTCGCCGCCGGCGGGGAGGTGGAGGGACAGCGAAGCGCGGCCGCGCGTACCCGTCGGGTGTGGTGCAGGAGCAGACGAGGTAGAAGGCCTGGATGACGGCGCTCAGCCGATCGGCCGTCACCTCGATCACGTCCTCTCCCTGCTCGGGGTCCGCCAGCGGCCCCCCCACCTCCCCCTCCCTGGGGCGGCCCGACAGGTCGGCCTCCGGGCGGGGGGCGGCCTTGTCCCCCCCGGGATCCGGGCGCGGACGGGGGCCGGGCGGGGGCGAGGAGGGGGCCCGCGTCCCCTCCCCGGGGTCGTCGGGAGACGGAGGGGGGTCGTCGGGAGACGCGGCCGGCGCGGGGTGGTCTGGGCACCCCCGCCCGGTGCTCTCGCCGTCGTCCCCCGCGTCGTCCGACCCCTCCGAGGGGGTCGCGCGGGCCCCGGGGTCGGAGACGGGCCCCGACGCCTCGGCCTGCGCCGCGTGCTTGCGGAGGAGCGCGGCCCGGACCCCCTCGCCGGGGGGGTCCCCTCCGCCCCCCCCGGGGCCCGCGAGGGTCTGGGTGGACTGCAGCTCGACCCCCAACAGCACGAGCCACTCGTTGAGCGAGTGCCACAGGGGTTCCAGTGGCTGGGGTTCGCACACGCGAGCGCACATGCACACACGGACACATGCAGGCGCACACGCGCATACATACAGACACGCGCATACATGCACGCGCGCAGAGGTAGTGTTACACACAACATCTGGCTGCGACATCACCACGGCGCTTGTGCCAGGCTAGGTGTACTCTTCAGCTATCATTTTAACGGCGGAAGGCTCTCTCTCGCTGCTGGCAGGAGATCACAGGCCAGACTCAGGTGCCGTCGGTTGACCGAGATGACTGGCAGGCAGATGCACCGCCTGTGCTTTTTAACCACCCGGCGCTCAACTCTCGTTGTCGTGACACACCGAGTGTTGCATATGTCCACGCACGCACACAACCCGCAGAGTTACACACACGTGCGCAGACGCACAGACATAAAGATCCTCCGTGTAACCTACATAGGCTGTTAGGGCAAGTGCTGTTTGCCAGCTGTTCTTCACACTTTTTGAGTCACCGCCCCTCTGCTCACAGACACACACACGCACACGTTTACACAAATACACATGCATATGCATACAAAGGCAAAGACAAAATCCCCCGTATAGACTTAACAAACTATTGGGGCAAGTACTGGTCGCGAGCACCTATGAAGGCTGGCACGGTATACAAGGGGATGGGTGACCAGCACCATGCCCGACCGCCTTTGTCTCCCCAGTGGCGATGTTTTACACACTGCACCAGGCATCAATTTCAGGCTGAGTCGACCTAGGGAAGGCCCAGAACCAGTTCAGAAAATCTTCATGGGTGTTGGCCATGAGTGGGAATCGACCACGGGTCGCCGGGTTCGTAGTGCAGCGCGCTAACCACTACATTACCGCTCTCACACACTCTCACACACTCTCACACACTCTCACACGCTCTCACACACTCTCACACACTCTCACACACTCTCACACACTCACCCAAACTCACACACTGTCACACACTCACCCAAACTCACACACTCTCACATACTCACCCAAACTCACACACTGTCACACACTCTCACACTCTCACGCATTCACTCTCACACTCTCACTGTCTCACACTATCACACTCTCTCACACATTCACTCTCACACTCTCACTGTCTCACACTATCACACTCTCTCACACTCACCCAAACTCACACACTGTCACACACTCACCCAAACTCACACACTCTCACACACTCACCCAAACTCACACACTGTCACACACTCTCACACTCTCACACATTCACTCACACACTCTCACTGTCTCACACTATCACACTCTCTCACACTCTCACACACTCTCACACACTCTCCCACACTCTCACACACTCTCACACACTCTCACTCTCCCACACACCCTCACACACACTCACTCTCCCACACTCTCCCACACTCTCTCACACTCTCTCACTCTCCCACACTCTCCCACACTCTCTCACACTCCCACACTCTCTTACACTCTCCCACACTCTCCCACACTCTCCCACACTCTCTCACACTCTCTCACTCTCCCACACTCCCACACTCTCTCACACTCCCACACTCTCTTACACTCTCCCACACTCTCTCACACTCTCACACACTCTCACACACTCTCCCACACTCTCACACACTCTCACACACTCTCACTCTCCCACACACCCTCACACACACTCACTCTCCCACACTCTCTCACACTCTCTCACACTCTCTCACTCTCTCACTCTCTCACACTCTCTCACACTCCCACACTCTCTCACACTCTCCCACACTCTCCCACACTCTCTGCCCTGGCGACATCAGTGCAGCACCACGCACCGCCCCCCCCCCCCCCCCCCCCCCCCGTTCTCACGCCTGTTGTCTCGCTCCGCGGGTTCTTGTGATCAAAGCTCGTCGGGGGGGAGGGGGCTGGAGGGGAGGGGGGGAGGGCGCATTTCAAACGCACGTTGCCTTCAGCTCGTGTCGTACGCGGACAGGTGTACGGGCGCGGGTGAGATCGCGCGCGTGCGTCTCTGTGTGTGCGTCTGTGTGTGTGTGTCTGTGTGTGGGGAGCGGTGGTGTAGCGGTTAGCGCTACGCTGCGCTCCGAACCTGGCCACCCGAGTTCGATTTCCCGCTCACAGCCAAAATCAGTGACGATTACCTGAACCGGTCCTGGGCCTCCACTAGGTCGACTCAGCCTCAAATGAGTACATGGTGCGGTGTGTAAACATCGCCACTGCGGAGACAAAGGCGGCCGGGCGTGGTGCTGTCCACCCACCCCTTCGTGTGCCATTCTGGCCTTCATAGGTGCTCGCTAACAGCACTTGCCCCAACAGTCTGTTACAGGCTATACGGGGTATGTTTGTATTTGTCTTTGGGGAGCGGTAGAGCAGCGGTTAGCGCACTGCACTATGAGCCCAGCCACAAGAGTCCGATTAACGCTCATGACCAGCACCAGTGGCGAGTATCTGAACCGGTCCTGGGCCTCCCCGAGGTCGACTCAGCCTGAAATTGATACCTGGTTCGGCGTGTAAACATCAGCGCTGGGGAGATGAATGCGGCCGGGCATGGTGCTTTGTGTGAGTGTGGTCTTTAGTGTGGATGTGTGCGAGTGTCTCTGGACGTGTGTGTAAGACGTGGGCACCTGGGACGGAACGAACTGGAAGGCATGGGCCAGATCAGCTCAGTTAACAACGGTAGGAGAGGGCTGGTGGACTGTGGACTTGTAATAATCAACACCGCTATTCCGGCATCGGTGCATCCACACAACATTGATGCATCCCAGGTTCAAGGTGGAACATCTGCCGGACTATAGTGACAGAACAGCGAGTCCTGGCCCATGCCCTTGGCACCAGCACCTACCGTGGAACTCATCTGCCCCCTGACTATCACCTTGTGATCTGTAAGATGCGCCTGCCATTCTTCCACTGGTGATGTGCATCGACCTAGGACCCAATTCAATCCCACCGTGGCCTGGTCTCGCCTCACTTATGGGAGCTGCAAGAATGTCATCATTGCTTGCAGCTTGAATTGGCATCGTCCGTGCCACCCCTCCTCCTCCGGATGGCGGGACCTGTGGTTCATGCACCTGCTCTGGTTGCACTGGGGTACGCAGTCCAAACCTCCCCAAGAAGCCCTGGCTAGATGGAGGAGGTTGTTCCAGCGAGCTCAGAGCAAGCGAGCGACAGGGCCCGCGGACAAGGATCTGGAGGCTTCGTGCAGCTTTCACTCGGAGGTTCGGAGAGGCCGTACGGAGCTGCAAGGTTGAATGGTGGTCACGAGTTACTGAGCGGAGATGGGCACTGCCTCAGGAGCTTGAAATGAGTCGCTTTAATTCCATTGAAGAAGCAACCCGCAGCGCCGCACCTATTTCCATCCTTAAGGGGAAGAACAGTGATCCGACCTCTGACCCCCTAGGAGCGGGTTTGCTGGCGAAAACCACCTCACCTCAAACAACACCGTGACCCCACTGGCACTGTGGTACCTCGAATATTGCGGAAAGGAGCAAACTCGCAGGCAACGGGATGGCGGATGTGGCTGATGTGCCTGTTAAGGAAGTGTGAAGAGCCATCCAGAGTTTGAGACCAGATAAAGTGCCCCTGCCAGGCAGCGTGCTGAGGAGAGACTTGCTAAGCCCCGATGTGGGTTGCAGGCCGGGGCCGTCCGGCACGGACGACATATTCTCTGTCCGTCTGCTACAGCAGAGGTGCCGGAAATTTCAATGGGCCCTGCATCTCCGCTGTGTTGACTTGGTCAAGGCCAATGACACCATCAGTAGGCCAGGCCTCTGGTTTGTTCTTCGTGCTTTTGGGATCCCTGACCCTCTGCTCACAATAATTAAAGACTTTTATGATGGTAGGCAGGCCCCGGTGATGGAGCAGTTATGGAGAAGTCAGCAGCATTATATGTTCACCAGTTGCGTAACGCTGTGTGATAGCTTCCCGGTTTATAACTCCATACGAAGCTCCGGGTGTTCTCGACCACAGTTATCCCCCCCCCCCCCCCGCTTCTCTATGCTTGAGAAAAGTGCAGCCCATTAAAGGAACACCTGCTGCAGTTTTAAACATCAAGGCTGGCCTGCCTACGATCCATGCTGGGCTTTACTCAACTGGATTGTGTAAGGAGCCAACAGATCCTTGAAAGATCTGGACACAGTCCCATCAGCGAGCTCCTCTGGCAGGCCAGGCTGCGTTGGCTGGGTCATGTAGCCCGCATGCCCAAGCATGCGGGCTACATGAGAGGGGGCTAAACGGGCGAAGCTTAGGCTGAATAAGAGGTGGGCTGATGCGGTACACGAAGATGTGCAGCCGAGTTAACTTGCCGTTGACCGCTAAGAGTGGTGTCAAGGTCGGCCTCGTTAAAGACTCTTCTGGGCGCTTGAGAGAGTGTGAGGTTGAGCAGCAGCGCTCACAACACCTGGGTCTGTCCCGTGACCTCCTGCCAGTGAACTCTGGACACTTAATGTGGCCTCAAAGTGCACCGAGCCTGACACAAGCACCGCGGAAGACGCCGCTGTCACATAGCGGTGAATGGCGACTTGCTGCTGTTGTTGTTACTGTGAATATGTGCGTGTGTGTGTACGTGCGTGTGTGTGTACGTGCGTGTGTGGGTGTGTATGTGTGTGTACGTGTGTGTGTACGTGCGTGTGTGGGTGTGTGTGTGGGTGTGCACGTGCGTGTGTACATGCGTGTGTGTGGGTGTGTATGTGTGTGTGGGTGTGTATGTGTGTGTACGTGTGTGTGTGTGTACGTGTGTGTGTGGGTGTGTAGGTGTACGTGTGTGTGTACGTGTGTGTGTACGTGTGTGTGTGTGTGTACGTGTGTGTGTGCGCCACTGCCATCACACAGGAGCTCGCTCCGCTCTGCTCGTGCATATTTCATGAGGCGTCAAGCGCCGCCGGGTACAGCGCTGGTGCCGCCACCGCCACCGCCGCCCCCCTCGCCCCCCCCCGGGGGGGGGGGGGGGGGGAGGGGGTCGTCCAAGCTCTCGCAATTAGTGCGCGCGGTGACATTTCCCGGGCAGAATTACACGGCGCCATCGCCGCGTCAATGGCAGCGGCAGCGGCGGCGGCGGTGGTGGAGGAGGTAAGCGGTGGGGGCCGCCCGTGTTCTAACCCGTATCGACAGAGACCCAGGGGGCCCAGAGAACCTACCACCCCCGAGACCCAGGGGACCCAGAGACCCAAAAGGACCCAGAGACACCAGAGAAACCAGAGGCACGGGAGACCCAGAGTCCAGGGGACCCAGAAACCCAAGAGGATCCCCAGGGGTCCTAAAGATCCAGAGAAACCATAGACCAGGGGATCCAGAAATCCAGGGGACCCAGGAGACCGAGGAGAACCGGAAACCTAATGGGAACCAAAGACCTAGGGAAACGAGAGGAATCAGATCGTAGGGGAACCAGAGACCCAGAAGAACCAGAAACCCAGGGGAATGAGAGATCAGGGGAACCAGAGTCCGAGGAAACAGAGACCAGGGAAACCCGAGACCAAGGGAATCAGAGACCAGGGGAACCAGAGACCAGGGAACCAGACACCAGGGTAATGAGAGACCAGGGAACCAGAGACCAGGGGAACCAGAGACCAGGGAACCAGACACCAGGGTAATGAGAGACCAGAGGAACGAGAGACCAGGGAACCAGACACCACGGGAACCAGAGACCAGGGAACCAGAGACCAGAAGAACCAGAGACCAGGGAACCAGACACCAGGGTAATGAGAGACCAGAGGAACCAGAGACCAGGGAACCAGACACCAGGGAACCAGAGACCAGGGTAATGAGAGACCAGAGGAACGAGAGACCAGGGAACCAGAGACCAGAGGAACCAGAGACCGGGGAACTAGAGACCGGGGAACCAGAGACCGGGGAACCAGAGACCAGAGGAACCAGAGACCAGGGAACTAGAGACCAGGGTAATGAGAGACCAGAGGAACGAGAGACCAGGGAACCAGAGACCAGAGGAACCAGAGACCAGGGAACTAGAGACCAGGGTAATGAGAGACCAGAGGAACGAGAGACCAGGGAACCAGACACCACGGGAACCAGAGACCAGGGAACCAGAGACCAGAGGAACCAGAGACCGGGGAACTAGAGACCGGGGAACCAGAGACCGGGGAACCAGAGACCAGAGGAACCAGAGACCAGGGAACCAGAGACCAGGGAACCAGAGACCAGGGAACCAGAGACCAGAGGAACGAGAGACCAGGGAACCAGACACCACGGGAACCAGAGACCAGGGAACCAGAGACCAGGGAACCAGACACCACGGGAACCAGAGACCAGAAGAACCAGAGACCAGGGAACCAGAGACCAGAGGAACGAGAGACCAGAGGAACGAGAGACCAGGGAACCAGACACCACGGGAACCAGAGACCAGGGAACCAGAGACCAGAGGAACCAGAGACCGGGGAACTAGAGACCGGGGAACCAGAGACCGGGGAACCAGAGACCAGAGGAACCAGAGACCAGGGAACCAGAGACCGGGGAACCAGAGACCAGGGAACCAGAGACCAGGGAACCAGAGACCAGGGAACCAGAGACCAGAGGAACGAGAGACCAGGGAACCAGACACCACGGGAACCAGAGACCAGGGAACCAGAGACCAGGGGAACCAGAGACCAGGGAACCAGAGACCAGGGAACCAGAGACCAGGGAACCAGAGACCAGGGAACCAGAGACCGGGGAACCAGAGACCAGGGAACCAGAGACCAGGGAACCAGAGACCGGGGAACCAGAGACTGGGGGAACCAGAGACCAGCGAACCAGAGACCAGAGGAACCAGAGACCAGCGGAACCAGAGACCGGGGAACCAGAGACTGGGGGAACCAGAGACCAGCGAACCAGAGACCAGGGAACCAGAGACCGGGGAACCAGAGACCGGGGAACCAGAGACCGGGGAACCCTGTGGGTGACTCACCTTGAAATCGGTGAAGAGGAGGGTTTGGGTGATGGTATTGCTCTGGGTGACTCCCGGTGGTTGACTCACCCCGTGGTTGACTCACCCCGTGGTTGACTCACCCCGTGGTTGTCTCACCCTGTGGTTGTCTCACCCCGTGGTTGACTCTCCCCGTGGTTGACTCACCCCGTGGTTGACTCACCCCGTGGTTGACTCACCCCGTGGTTGACTCACCCCGTGGTTGACTCACCCCGTGGTTGACTCACCCCGTGGTTGACTCACCCCGTGGTTGACTCTCCCCGTGGTTGACTCACCCCGTGGTTGACTCACCCCGTGGTTGTCTCACCCCGTGGTTGACTCTCCCCGTGGTTGACTCTCCCCGTGGTTGTCTCACCCCGTGGTTGACTCACCCCGTGGTTGTCTCACCCCGTGGTTGTCTCACCCCGTGGTTGTCTCACTCCGTGGTTGTCTCACTCCTTGGTTGTCTCACCCCGTGGTTGTCTCACCCCTTGGTTGTCTCACCCCGTGGTTGTCTCACCCCGTGGTTGTCTCACTCCTTGGTTGTCTCACCCCGTGGTTGTCTCACTCCTTGGTTGTCTCACTCCTTGGTTGTCTCACCCCGTGGTTGTCTCACCCCGTGGTTGTCTCACTCCTTGGTTGTCTCACCCCGTGGTTGACTCACCCCGTGGTTGTCTCACCCCGTGGTTGTCTCACCCCGTGGTTGACTCTCCCCGTGGTTGACTCACCCCGTGGTTGCCTCACCCCGTGGTTGACTCACCCCGTGGTTGACTCACCCCGTGGTTGTCTCACCCCGTGGTTGACTCGCCCTGTGGGTGGCTCACCTTGAAGACGGTGGAGCGGAGGGTGCGGGTGGTGGGAAACGCTCGCCCATTGGCGCCGGTGGTGCTGGGCGAGCGTGCCGACCCCGCGTGGTACAGGTGGCACAGCAGCCGCACCACGCGCAGCAGCCGGTGCATCTGGGCCTCGTAGCTGCTGGAGAGGCTGCACGAGCGGAGACACGGGGACACACGGGGAGACACGGGGAGACACGGGGAGACACGGGGACACACGGGGAGACACGGGGACACACGGGGAGACACGGGGAGACACAGGGACGCACGGGGAGACACGGGGAGACACGGGGACACACGGGGAGACACGGCGAGACACGGGGACGCACGGGGAGACACGGGGAGACACGGGGACACACGGGGACACACGGGGAGACACGGGGACACACGGGGAGACACGGGGACACACGGGGAGACACGGGGACACACGGGGAGACACGGGGAGACACACGGGGAGACATGGGGAGACACGGGGACGCACGGGGAGACACGGGGACACACGGGGACACACGGGGAGACACGGCGAGACACGGGGACGCACGGGGAGACACGGGGAGACACGGGGACACACGGGGATACACGGGGAGACACGGGGACACACAGGGAGACACGGGGACACACGGGGAGACACGGGGACACACGGGGAGACACGGGGAGACACACGGGGAGACATGGGGAGACACGGGAACACACGGGGAGACACGGGGACACACGGGGACACATGGGGAGACACGGGGAGACACGGGGGACGCACGGGGAGACACGGGGACGCACGGGGAGACACGGGAAGACACGCAGACACACGCGGACACACGAGAAGGACAAGGAGAGACGTAGGGACAGAGAGACGAGACAAAACTGGTGAGCACGGTTATAGAGAGACAGAAGCAGTGGGTCAAGAAAGTAAGATCGTGAGCCTGGCCTTGAACAGGGGCAGCAGAAGAGAATAAGCGACCTCCTGCAAATAAGCGAAGGGCGACTGGGGGCAAGGCACGGTGGATCCATGGTGGATCCCCAGTGGACCCCCAGTGGATCCAAGGTGGATCTACTGGGGATCCCCGGTGGACTCCGGTGAAGCGGTGTGGAGCGGGGTGGAGGCAGCAGGGCTGGGTCAGGAAGGAGTGACGGCTGTGCCTGGGGATTAGCAAGCACCGCGACATTTTCATTTTCCGGTGGAACAGCTTCGTAATATTTCACAGCTGCACAGCCTCACTCAGCCTGTGCACACGCACGCACGCGCACGCACGCACGCGCACACACGTGGCATACATGTGCACGCACACAAAGACATGTAACATGCACACACACGCACAAACACGCCAGCTGTATGTGTGAGTGACAGGTATGCGACGGGTTGGTGTGTGATGGCTGGGTATGATGTGTGGATGAGTGATGGGCGAGTTTCCTGATGGGTGGGTGTGCGCGATGAGTTGTAGGGAGTGGTGGCAGCGGTAGTGTAGCGATTAGCGCACTGCTGTATTAACCCGGCAACCCAAATTCGATTCCCGCTCACAGCCAACGCCGGCGTCGATGATTTGAACCGGTCTTGAGCCTCCCCCTAGGATGACCCAGCCCCAAATGAATATTTGGCGTGATGCGCAAGCATCGCCACCACTTGGGAGACAAAGGTGGTAGGGCGTGGTGTTGGCCACCCACATCCTCATGTGCCATGCCAGCCCTTCATAGGTGCTCGCTTACAGCACTTTCCCTAAACGTCTGTTAAGGCTATACGGGGGATCTGTGTGTGCAGGCGACGTGTGGATGCGCACGCACGACAATCTCCGGTGGCATTGGCGGCCTGCTCTACACCACGTGTGACGACGCATTTACCAAGCATCAGGCGCGTGCCGCGCGTAACACCCCAACTCGTGTTGCGCCGCGACGCTTGGTAAACATTGGGGTGGGGGGCCCTGTGGGACTGGGGTGGGTGGGGGGGGAGGTCGCGAGGACGAACGTCCGTTATAACCTTCGAAACACGGCGCAAACTCCACACAGATGGATTGCTGCACGGCCCTGGGCCCGGTGGCAGTGAGCGGCGGTGGCGTTTAAAGTTGGGGATGAAAGCCGCGGGGCCTCTGGAGCGTCCCCAAGGGGCGGCCTCATCTCTCGCTCATGAATTCTCTCGTTGCATCCCTGCTCTCGTGACAAAGGGGCTACGGTCGGAGGCAAGGGGGGGGAGGGGGGTGGAACGACCCAGAAAAATATATACACGGGAAATAATGAAATATATGAAATCAATTTGCTCTCAGAGTTGGGGGTGGGGCGCTGGGCGCCGGATAGGTGTGGAGACACGGAGGGAGACGGGGAGCCACCGCGGGGATCGGGAATCTCCACCACACACGGGGCTCCATCATCAGCGGGAACGTCAGTCACGATCTATCCGCTGCTGGATGAAGGCCTCCCCAATGGGTGCCCTCTCCAGGAGACTGGACGCTCTTGGGGTGACACCGGCACTCACGCCCCCCCCCCCACGCTCGGCTCCCTCCCACGCCCACGCGATGCCGTCCCACGCCGGCACGTATCGCACACGTGCGCATGTATACGTGTACGTGTATACGTGTACGTGTATACGAGTGCGTGTATACGTGTGCGTGTATACGTGTGCGTGTATACGTGTGCGTGTATACGTGCGAGTGTATACGTGTGCGTGTATACGTGTGCGTGTATACGTGTGTGTATATGTGCGCGTGTGTACACGTGTGCGTGTATACGTGCGAGTGTATACGTGTGCGTGTATACGTGTGTGTATACGTGTGTGTGTATATGTGCGCGTGTACACGTGCGCGTGTTGAACCTCCTTCGCACCGCACGTGGCCAACAGCGCTAATCGGAGGGCAAGGGAGGGAGGGCGAGGAGGGAGTGAGGGGATGGACACAGGGAGGCATGAGAGGTGGGGTTAGTTCCAGTGGCTCGTTGGTTAGGGTGGACGGCTAGACGCCAGGGGCTGGTTGGACGGATGCAGGTCGAGGAGGGAGGCAGGAAGCGTTGAAGGAAGAGATGGGGAGGAGAAGGGAGGGGTCGCCACCCCGCAGCACCCCCGCCCCCCACACGGAATGAGCCGTCACCGGGTGATGCCCAAATTGCGTCACTCACGCCCCCACGGCTCCGGGAGATTTTAATAAAGAGGGGAGGGGCCCGGGTGGGGTCGGGGGCACCTTCTCCCCCTACTGCACCCCCCCCCCCCAACACGCCCCCCCCCATCACATCGATTTATTGTCATCGAGTCCCAAATCGGTCGGGGGAGATGCGGCATTCGCATCGCTCCGTGTGTCCCCGTCTCACGCATCCGTTCTCTCCTGGTCCGTCTCCTCTGCCTTGTCAGCACGGGAATCGAGCGTTTCCTCCTCCTCCCGCCGGTATAATAAATACACTCATCATGACTTGGCTGCAAACGTTTAAACAAAACAAAAAAAAAACAAATCATCAGCAGGACCCTCCTGAAAGAGAGCCACTGGCATCAGGGTAGCTGTCCTGGCTAAATGAATAATAATTAATGAATTGGGCTAACCTGTCGCTCGCCCTTCTCCCACCGCCCCTCGAGACCGCTTCACTCACCACACAGACACAACGACACCCGCCATCCCATGGGACTCCCCGGCCCAAATATCACCCACGGACGTTTTGTCGAAGCGAGCAAAGCGTGGACACGGCTTAGACTCCCGGCGTGGTTTCCCCGCCAGCGAGGCGGTCAGGCTCGTTAGACAAATGCCGCCGGTTGCGTCGTTGGCGAGGGCACTCCGCACAGCGCCTGGGCGGGTCCGTCGCTTGTCGGGGAGCGGTGCTCCAACACGGACCTCACTCCACTCGCCCCACACACGAGCTCAGTGGGGAGCCCCTGGGCGCACTCAGTCCGGGGATTGGAGGGAGGCGGTGTGTGGATTGGTGGGGGGGGGCGTTGATTAGGGGGGGGGGAGGATTGGAGGGAGGCGGCGTGTGTTTTGGGGGGGGGGCGTGGATTGGGGGGGGCGTTGATGTGGGGGGGGGGGGGGATTGGAGGGAGGCAGTGTGTGGTTTGGGGGGGGGGGGGGTACGTGGATTGGCGGGGAGGGATTGGAGGTGGTGTGGATGTGGAGGGGATTGGAGGGAAGCGGTGTGTGGTTTGGGGGGGAGCGTGGATTGGGGGGGGATTGGAGGGAGGCAGTGTGTGGTTTGGGGGGGGGGGCGTGGATTGGCGGGGAGGGATTGGAGGTGGTGTGGATGTGGAGGGAATTGGAGGGAGGCGGTGTGCGGTTTGGGGGGGAGCGTGGATTGGGGGGGGATTGGAGGGGGTGTGGATATGGGGGAAATTGGAGGGGGGCGGTGTGTGGTTTGAGGGGGGCGTGGATTGGGGGGGGTGAAGAAGATGCGTTGATGAGGGGGGATTGGAGGGGGACAGTGTATGGATTTGGAGGGGGGGCGTGGATGTGGGGGGGGGGGGAGGTTGGCCGGGGGCGTGGATGTGGGGGGGGGGGGGGCGTGGCTCTGTCGTGAGCAGGAGGGAGGGCATTGTGAGCAACTCCCTCAACCTGCGAGTGTCGACACCGACTCACTTGCACACAGAGACAAAGATTCCTCGTGCAGCCCACACAAGCGCTTCCGGCTAGTGCTGTTAACGAGCGGCATCTATTAAGGCCTGCGCCACGCCCGGTCGCCTTTGTCTCCCCAATGCTTATGTTTACACAATTCGCCAGGTACTCATTTAAGAATGAGTCGACCGAACGGAGGCCCGGCATTGGCCACAACACCCCTTCATTCGGTGAGCTCCTCTGGCAGGTGAAGCCACGTTCGCTGGGTCAGCTAGCCAGCGACCGCATGCCCAGCCACCGCATGCCCAGCCACCGCATGCCCAGCCACCGCATGCCCAGCCACCGCTTGCCCAGCCACCGCATGCCCAGCCACCGCTTGCCCAGCCACCGCATGCCCAGCCACCGCATGTCCAGCCACCGCATGTCTAGCCACCGCATGCCCAGCCACCGCATGCCCAAGCAGCTTCCGTTTGGCCGGATAGCGGGGGGCTAAATGCGCGCGGCACAGGCTGGAGAAGAGACGACTGGTACCAGCCGTGTCAAAATCGGCCTGTGTAGAGGAGGCTCGTAAAGGAAGCTGCTAAAGAGCAGTTGGAGGCAGTCGCACTCCAACAACGAGCAGAGCTCCGGGCGGCGAAAGCGCAGA